TCTAAGAGTTGTTATCGGGTAATAGGACCCAAACTCTTTGATTGCTCATCAAAATTTCCTGACTCAAATCCCTTAGAGATGCTGTTCGGCGTTTTGAAGTGCTGTTTCGGAACTCGCCGTTTTAGAAAACATTGAAGGGGCGAATAGCTTAAAATCTGATTGGCTTTCATTACGAACTACACTAGTAACTAATCTATTCCATAAAGGTGTTTGGAACTCAAAGGGACCAAAGATTTGCATAAGAAGATCAAAAAGTTGCTTAAGTTTCGAACAGCTATTTATGGAGTTAATTCAGTTATTATTTTCTTGTAACTCACATCGAAATGGAATTAAAATTTTGTTGTTGTTATTATAATGTAGACACATAATATTATTATTATCAATTATATAATTTTGAATAAATCAATTAAAATAGAAAATATAGCACTTTGTATACAATGCCAAAAAAAGTTGCTTAGGTTTCGAACAATACTGTATATATACGTAAGTTTGTTATACCGTCTGTCTATCTTAACCTATAAACTGTGTAGGTTAAAGGTTAATTAAATTTTGATATTTTTGGGATTTCTCATTGAACCGTATTTATTTCTGAATATTATCAATAATAATTAAAGAAAATTAATGTATATAGTCCTAAATTTAAAATAATATCGAGAAAAAAAAAATCAAAATTAACCCTTTAAAGCGTTTGGGAACATCAACGTTAACGTTTTTGAAAATTTTGAATTTTTTCCATACACGTTTTTCGTTTTATAAAATTTAAATTAATATTTAATTAAAATTTCCAATAATTCGAATATAATTTTTAAAAAATCGAAAAATTTTATTTTTAAACATTTCTATAAATTCCAAATCTTTATTTTGCAAATTAACTTCGAAAAAATCCTTAACCTTTTTTCGAAAAATTTAAAAATGTTTCGAAACTTATTTTAATAAATTCAGACATTAGGTAATACAAATTCAAAACTTTAAAACATTCGAAAACCAATTTTGAAAATTAAAAAAAAAATTTTGCAATTCGACAACAAATTACAAAATATTCGAACACTATTCTAAAAATTTAGTCGAAAGAAATTTAAAAATGTCGAACCCTTTATATTATTTAGTGAAAAGTAAAAAATTTAAATTCGTTGTGAACAAATTGGGTGTGGCTGACCTTGGTCAAAAAATTATTTTATAACGGTAAGGAAATTCAAAAATATTTACGAGTGATAATATGGAACTATTAAATAAATAAAAAAAAAAAAACTATAACATTAGTGGAAACTTTGAATACAAGCCTTGAACTCAAATTGATTATTGGTTAAACAACTTTGTTGTTTATAACAGAAGCTAGAACTGTGTACGAAACCTAACCTCCTCGCTAACAACAAATACTCTTGGTCTTTTTGTTAACTTAAAAACAACAGTGTGAAAAACCTTTTCTTTTATTAAAAAATAAACTTAAACTTTAAGTTGGATTTTTAAAATGTTTTTTTGTTTTAATTATGAAAAAAATTCATATACATGTTTCTTCTATGTAGCATTATAAGTATTATTAAAAATACACCCACTTTCCCTAGGACCAAAACGAAAACTTTTCAAAAGTTTTTACTTCTTCTTGGGAGCAGCAGCGGCCTTCTTCTTTCTGGCTTCGAAAGCAGTTTTCAACATCTTGGCGCGGTTGGCAGCGGCTTTGCTGGCAACAACGGCGAAGTGGTTCTTGGCCAATTCAACGTTGTTCTTCTTAGCCTTGGCCAAGGTCTTGGCGATGGTACGTTGCTCAGCGGCCAAAGCAGCGCGACGACGAAGAACTTCGGCGTAGGGGTTCAACTTGATGAGTTGACGTACGTTGGTCAAAGGATTGAGACGACGTACGCGACGGAATACCTTCTTGCGGGGATCACGGAGAACCTTGCGGATTTCTTCGGATTTAAGAAGACGAGTCAAGTCGGTATTGGCCATCTTGGGTTGAGGAAGGTTGTAGCCCTTCTTCAAGGTGGAGCCAGATTTCCAGGTGCCGAAAAGTTCGTTCAAACGAGCGAAAGCAGATTCGGTCCAGATGACAAAACGACCAACATGACCGCCAGGAGCCAACTTCAACAAGTTCATCTTGTCGACGGACATGGTTTCAATGCCGGGGATGTTACGGAAGGCACGACGAAGACCTTCATCCTTGTAGTAAACGATGAGGGGACCTTTGCGGGCAATGCGACGACGATCGCGCATGGTACCACGGCCAGCACGGAAACGTTGGGATTTGTACACCTAAAAAAGAGCCAAACAAAAATAGTTACATTTAGTTAGGAAAAATAGTTTCTTTGTTAGCAGCAGTAGTAATAGTTTGAATGTAATGTTGATTTAAGTTACCCCGTTAATAAGTATTAAACACTTGTCAACGGAACGCCTACCGAAACCAATGTTTACTCTAGCAGCCACTTACGAGTTTAAAGCAATTTTTAACAAAATTCTTAAATAACAACTGAATTCTGTCAATAACTGCAGCAACTGCCCATAAGGATCGAAATGATTTGTTTACAACTACAATACACAAACGTTTTGTTTACCTTTTGGATGTCAGCCCAGATCTTCATGCGTCTGAGGAAGACAACAGCTTGCTTGGTCTTTTGCAACTTTTGTACTTCATCAGAGACAACCAATGGGAATTCAGAGACGCCATCGATGATGTGACCCTTAGATTGGACAAGGGCTGGGACGCCAGAGGCAGCAATAGCGGAAACCAAGGCATAACGACGTTGGTTTACGTTGATCTTGCGGTGCCAGCGACGGTAGGTCTTAGTGGGGGCGAACATACGACCACCACGACACATGTTACCGAAAGCACCCTGGCCGGAACGGTGAGTACCACCACCACGGACACGGGGAATACGAGCAACAGCACGACCAGTACCCCAAGATTCAGCAGAGGTTTGGTGACCTAAACAACAACAACACACACGTTATATAGGGAACATTTTTCCTTTATTTTTAGAGTATTTTATACATACCGGCTTGTTCGCTGACAGCATAAGGTTGACGCTTGTTGCGACGCATCAATTGATGAACATCGTTGACCACATCGGGGCGGATGGGAGCCTTGAAGACAGCTGGCAAGCAGATGTTCTTTTCTTTGATTTGTTCATTTTTATCCGAATAAACGGAGACCAGAGGTCTGGCATTGGCTAAACTCTACACAAAACAACAAAAATAAAATTTATTAAACACTTTGCCGCTTCTTCACTTGAATATTTTCACGATTATCTTTAACTTCAACGTGGGTTAGAATTTCACAAATGCCCAAAAACGAAACACGTGTGACTAGTCATAATTTACATTTCACGATCTTTACGTTAATTTTCTGACAATTTTTAGATTCACAGTAACGTCGTTAATAATCGTTGTAATTTTAAACACTTCTTACCATTTTGGCAAATAATCCCAAAAATTATTATATTATTTTATTCTGCTACGGCAGAAACGTCCTCCATTTACCAATAGTGGACCGAAAAGAAAAAGGAAGAAAACAAGAAGAGGAAAGAATGCTAAATAACGAAAAACTTAACGAAATTCAATATGGCTACCGATAAACAGAGTTGAAACTGAACGAATTTGAAGAGTTGTATTTGAGATTTTAGCGATTTTTAGGTATGTTTTGCAGTTTTACACCAGGTGGCTCTCGGTGCTACGAATGACTACTAAAAGGGAGTATGAGAAGTAAAATAGTGAACTGTCAAACGTTGTTAAAAAGAAAACAAACTGCAGCCGGAGTAAAGTAAAAATAAAAGATTTTTATTTAAATTCAACATTTTTGGTGAAAATTATTGTGTTAAATGGCTGGAGAAGTTACTGTAGATGCTTTGCCTTATATAGATCAGGGTTATGATGATCCTGGTGTTAGAGAATCGGTAAATAAATGATAAAGTTTGTTTGAAAAGTTAAATAGAAATGTGTGCCTCAATAGTTGACAGTGTGAAAAATAATTTCTACAAAATAGTGAAAACTTGTAAATTGAACTCCTAGGGGAACTATTCAAATTTTAAGAAAATTGTTTATAAAATTTGAAATGTAGTTACTTTTTATTATAATAGCAAATCTTTCTATTTATAGAAATTTTTTAGTAGTATAGCTTCATTGAAATTATAATTTTTTATGGCAATTTTTTAATTTTAGGCTCTGGCTATGGTAGAAGAATGTCGTCGCTACAGACCCACCAAAAACTATTTAGAACATTTACCTCCCCTCAGCTCGGCCGCTTTTGAGACAAAACTTATGGCTCAAGAATTTGAACGCATACAGAATCGTATACCCATGGAAACTCTAAGTATGAAACGTTATGAATTGCCACCACCAGCTGCAGGACGTTTATCTGAAGTTTCCGCCTGGGAAGAATCCATAGACAATTCGAAAGCTCAACTGGAACATCAATGGGTTAGAACAATGAATCTGGAACTAATGCTTGATTATGGTATTGAGGCTTGGAAGGCCTATTTAGAAGTATTCGTAGCCTTACAAGCTAAAGCCCAAAATCAATTGCAGGCTTTGAAAAAAGAAATACAAGACGTAAATTGGCAAAGAAAACAGGCTCAAACACAAGCCGGAGAAAAACTGCGAACCCTCGAAGCCAATTGGGTATTGTTAGTGTCGAAAAACTATGAAATCGAACAGCAATGCGTGGAACTGGAAAAACAAATATACACCTTGAGAGAACGCATAGCAGAGAATGAAAAGGCCAAACAATTGGAAGAACAAAGCGAACAGCAATTGAATGGTTTTTCCAATAATGGGGAAGATGGTAATAGTAATAGCAATAGCAGCGAAACTAATTCGGGAAATAATGATAATACTGCTGAAGAAGACAAGGAGAGACAGCCTCAAGAACAGGCCCAAGACGAGGATCAGGAAATGAGATCAGTGGAGACTTAATTTTTTAATATTTAAGAATTATTAGTTTAATTTAATGTTGCTAAAATATATAAATTTAAGAGATGATTTTAAATTTGTTGGTTTTAATTTATAAGAAAATTGTGAACTTAGTTGAACAGAGGGAAACTCAAAGTCAATATCACCCTTGAATGAATCTGTTATTGAATCTCCCGAAAGTGGCGAACAAAATGAAAAGTCTTAAATTAAAATTGTATTGGAATCCGTTGAAACTGAAAACAACAATGAATTTGTGGTCGAGGACTCTGCCTCCGCAAATACTCCCTCAGCTGTTAGTAAGGACAGTGCCAAAGGTTATTCTATAATTAATGAAGGCTCTCGGATGTCCTTCTCAATGGTAGATTTATACTGGGGTCAATTATTGCTAACGGCCTTGTATAGTTTGTCCAGATTCCGAAGGCGAAACCATAACCACAGAAGAAGTTGGTCGTTCAGGCGATCAAACTGTTTTGGTACACGTTCGTTTCTTTGCCGACAGTGGTCGTCGCAAAAATCTCATACCCTTTAATGGTATCGAAAGTTATCAGGAACGTATTGACAAAGTGCGTGAAAAGTATTGTCCAAAAAGTTCAAAATTTAAATTGTATGTACCGACAAAACGAAAAGAACCCGTTTGGTATGATCCGGTAAATGAGTCCTATCTGGTAAATGAGGTCTTATGCTGAAAGATTGGAGAAATTTTATGAAATTTTTAAAAAATCAAAGTGAGTATTTAAACAATATATCGTTATCTAAAACTTTCACTAAAAATAAAATTTTATTTTTCACAGAAAAAAAATCACCAAAAATTTTGAAATTAAAAAAAATGAAAATTCTATGCAGTATTTTCAGATTTTTTACATAAAAAATTCAAAATACTAACGAAGTTTTTCTGTTTTAACGGAAATTTTAAAATATAAAAATGTAAATATAACAAACTTTGACAGCTACGTAAACCAGGAGAATTAAGAAAAAAATTATCATCTGATTGAATAACACCACCTTATGTGAATTCGCCTTGGACTAGAGACTCGGAGGCGCCAGTGGCCGTACTTAAAAAGTACGAAGAAACGACCAGAGGTCTAAGTCGAGTGGCTCGGAGCCGGCTTGGCGCCGACACTTTTTATATATCCAGGCTGAGATCGGCTTATTTTGTTATCTACCGCAATTACAAAACCATTTCATATCGACAAAAACGAGTTTTTTATTTGATATTTAATTTTAATCACATATAGGAATATATCAATTATGCCGACTTTAAGAGAAGATTCAGTTTTCAAAAGAAAGGGAAATTAAACATTTATAATTAAGGGTTTGCTTATTTGCTGGCAGGATAGCTGCATCGAATCGTTGCAGGATCATGTATTCATGAGAGAAAAACTGACTTCAACTATCAAAGACTTTTAATAAATGACTGTGGAAAAAAAAGTTATATTTCCTATTAAGCAAAGTATTTCTACAAATTTCGATGTTTTTGAAATTTTTCTCGGTAAAGAATTTAATTATAGCAACATTGGCTTCAGCCGGCTGTTAGCCGTTGCGAATTATGTTTGCTCAGCCGACGCCGCCTAGAATTTTGCAACGACTTGGAACTCTGGAAACGACGTTAGAGGAAGTAGTGTCGGAATTTTTATTTTTTGTGTCGTTAACGTTGGAAAATTTTTTAATTTTTTTCTTAACAATAAAAAACAACAAAATTTGCTAGTGGTTTTAATAAAAAAATAAAAGAGATTATATCGAAAATATAAATAATTTACACATTGAAAATTTATTGGTGAAATGCAATAAATAGTACAGAAAACAGCAGAAAAAAAAACATACATAGAAAGTATAGAAGAAAAGGAACAATAGATAACACGTCAGTTAACAAGTGCACAGTTAGAGTAAGAGAGACAGAGAGCAGGAGGCGAAGTACGAAATAAAAGGAAAACGTAATCAAAACAAGAAAAAATTTATAAATAAAAGAAAATAAATAGAAATTGCTAATAACAGTATACTTTTACATCATAAACTTGGCGTTTAATTAGTGGAACAGAAAAATTTATATAAAAAAAAACAACAGACACAAAAAGGTCGACTGGGCAATAACAAAAGAATTATAGAATTTTTTTGCAATTAAATAATAAATATATTATATATTGTAAAATATAAAAACATTTAAAACGGAATATTTATATTGTAAATACTTGAGTGTACGTGGGAAAAGTAAAAAATGGTTAGTATGGATGAAACTAATACAGCAAATTCATCCTCGGCAGCTGCGGTAGCTGATGGAGCTAGTGCTGCTGCTCACACGAAGACCGTTGGTGCAGCGGCACCACCTACTATTAAATCAGCCTCTCATGTAAAACTTTTGATTAAATCATCTAATCAACAATATGAAGATCATGTGATTGAAAGTGATTTGTTGTGGACTGTCAAAAGGCTGAAGGCACATTTGTCGGTGGTTTATCCTAGCAAACCGGTGAGTAGTAGTTAAGGGGAAACATTTTTCTGGGGGGTTTATAGTTAAATTTAATCACATTAAGTTTTTTTTTTAATTTTTTTATTACTGACTTTTTATCAATTTTTGTTGTAGGAACTTCGAGAAATTAAGAAAATTATTTGCTTATCAGAACTTTGAAATACTGCGCATTAGTTTGATTTGCTAAAATTTATAAGTTTTTATAAATTTCAAAATTAGTTTGTGTTTTATAATTAGCATTATAGGTTATATACACAGTTAAAGCTTTTCAGAAAAACATACATGTGTATTTACATATAAAAGGGAATAAGTAGTGTTAGTAATACTTTCAAACCGGCTATTGATTACTTTCTATCTCCTCTAACTTTCTTATTAGTGTTGCTTCAGTATTGCCTATGATTCTCTAAATCCATCCCCTTACTCAAAATTTCAATACATTTTTTAAACTAAAACCTTTAAATTTTAATGTTATCTAAAAGAAATTATTTGCTTTTTTAAATTTAATGTCTTTCATTGAAGGTTTTAGTACAATTTGCCACTTTAAATAAAAATTTGAAAATCTGATCAGTATTGTTGCAACCTTTTTGATTATTTTACAGTATATTTGAAAATCTGACCTATAGTGTAACAACCTTTTTGCCTATTACAGATTTAATCAATTCCTTTTCTAAAATTTCAATATATTTTCCAATATTGCTTAATAATGCTTTCTGTTTTTACTAAAATCTTTATATCTGATGAGTTTATGGACTAAATTATTGAAAATTTCTATATATTTTACTCTCTTCCAGACTAAAATCTGATCAGTATTCAAACATATATTTCTATATTTCATGGAACTTTTCTATAGGTACTCAGAGTTCCAATTGTTTTCCTTATAAATTCCCTTTAATTTCTAACTAAAATTTGTCAACTGGAATATTATTGTTAACGATATCAGTTGCATTTCAATTGACATTCCTTCTTAAATAAAATACAAAATTTTAATTACTTTAAAAATCTTGTCTGATTTATCAATATTTAATTTAACCACAGAAGTCAGCACACACATTGCAATCTGTTGTTTATTATTTGCATTATTATTCTTATAAAAATACATAAATAAATTTATAAATAAACGAAATATTTCTGAATGCAAACACAAATACAATAATACTGTTTTTTGTTTTTTTTTTTTTTTTGAACAGCTGCAGTTTATAAAATTAAAATAATAAATACCGTTATAAGTTGTACACGTCATTCGTTAGTTTCAAATGACGTGTTCTTTAAATAAATGCATTTTATTGCATAATTTGGTTTCTTTTTGGGGGCAATTAGTTTTTTACTTTTATGCAAATATTATAAGTTCAAATTGTGAACAGAGCGGTCAAATTTCATGCGGGGGCAGAGCTACTATTGAATATGTAGTCGGGTATCTAAATGGACTATTAGCTAAAAATGTATTTAATTGCAAAAATAATAATAATAGGAAACAAAATGAGTCGACTTTTTCAAGCCGGTTTAAGTAGAAAGATTTTGATGACAAAGATGACTTTTAGAATTAATCATCGCTTAGGATTAGACGGCTTTCAAACGTTCAATGAAGTACTTTGAAAAGCTATATATACAATTTTCAGTAATATCAGTAGAAAATAAAAACTATTAATACTTATTACTTATAGTACATTAATATTATATACAAAAATTTGCCAATTTCATAAAAATAATAAAAAAATGCATTTACTTTCTTTCGTATAAAAATTTTAATACAAAACTTTGATTATTTTATAACATCCGATCATATGTATAAATAAATACCAAATAGTTTTCAGAAAAAAATATAAACACACCTAAGTGGAATGATAATATTAATTAAAAATCAAGGTTAAATGAGATAAAACAAATTATCAAATTACTCACAAATTATAGCTAGAAGTAGCAACTGGAAGTCTAGTCCAAAAAAACAAAAATAATAATAAAAATTTACATAATACGGAACTTTAAACTACAAATCTGTGCAGGTTATTGAACCATGCAACCAAGTTTAATTTCAAAATTAAAAAAAAAATACTATAATCATACTTTAATACATTTGAAACGTCAAGCCAAATATTGAACTTAACAACTGCGTTTATTTCGTTAATATTTCTTATGAAATAAACTATTGAAATCTGCAGACTTTAGTTTAATATATAGTCTCGACTATATTATAGTCTATAGGCTGGACTATAGTCTAGTTTAAGTCTTGACTGATGTCTAGTCTAGAACATGGACAATACATGACCTGAAATCTATAGTCTATTATATAGTCTGGACTATAGGTTTAGTCTATAGTCTGGACTATAGTATAGTCTATATTCTGGACTATAGTCCAGTCTATACTCTGGACTATAGTCTAGTCTATTCTATAGTCTAGTTTAAATATATTCTATTGCCTAGTCTATAGTCAGTGCTGTAGTCTATTCTATAACCTGGACTATAGTCTAGTCTAAAGTCTGGACTGGTTTATAGTCTGTATAAAAATCTGCAATTACGTTCATTTTATTTTCCTCTTCCCTATCTATACAAATTACAATTTCCCCAATTTCTCTTTCGTCACTATAATCATACTTTAATACATTTGAAACGT